ACATTTGTGCTTTGCTGCAGCCCTTCAGCCTGCTGCCTTTGCCCAGTAACTTCTCAGGATCATTCCCCAAAGCAGGGTGTTCTCTATGTTTCTGTTGTGAGCTGGGTTCTGTGTCTCCCAGTGGTGGAGTTTGCTCTGGGTCCTCCCAATCCATAGCACACCTGAGGACAGAAGGAGCATTTTCAGAGCTTGTGAACTCTGTTTACATTTAATGATCAGGTGCATTCCTGAATCCTGGTGTTCATACAGGAATTAAACCTCTGTGTGAATTCCTATTGCTTGTGCCAGTGTCAAACTCCCTCTGCTCTCACTTAAAACCTCACTTGAACAGAGGGTTCCTGCCAAACACCTCAAAACCGCTGGGTCCCCAAGCCGTCCTGATAAAACTGAACTTGTGTGTGTCTCTTTTTTCCCCAGTGATCCCAACAAGGGGAATTCAGACGTGCCCGTTTCCTGGCCAGCCTACACCAGCAAGGGCACTTACTACCTGGAGATCAACAACAAGATGAACAAGAACTCCGTGAAGCAGGACCTGAGATCCCGGTTTGTCACCTTCTGGAACTCGGTCTATCGGAGCCTGCCCCAGGTTGCCAACCTCACCCAGTCGGATTTCATGTTCTGAAATTAAGAAAAAACATCTTTTAAAGATAGTTCATTAAAGGCTTGCTTGTAACTGAGTGACTCTGATTCTCCTTGTGTTTGCCATGACAGGATTTTGTGGCTAATGTTAAGGTCAGGAAGGAAGGGACATGTGTGGTCAGAGAGTGTCCCCTGACCCATGACACAGCCATGTCCTGGGCAAGCAGCTCTTGGGGCGAATTAAACTCTCAGCTTAACCCTCACACCCTCCATCTGCCGCCTCTTGCGGCATCAAACACTGGCGGGATGAAGACTTAAGTTCTTAGGAACCAAAGGCTTATTTTAATGAGAATTTACACCAGATTCCTTGCATGACTTCGAAACTCATGACCCCAAAATATTCTCCAATAGTCACTGGCATGACTTTAATGCAGCACGAGCGAAACGGTGGTTGTATGAGCTGCTTGTGAGCGTGTGCTCAATACCGAGGGCTCTCAGCCCGGGGATCGTTTTCCTTCATTTTCTTTCAACCACGGGCAGGACAGGGGACAAAACAACCCACGGGGGGGGTTGTTCTGCACGGGTTTAGGGCCACGAGCTCGAAGGAGTTCAGGGCCGCCCTCTGGGCCCGCCCTTCGCCCACACGCGGGCCCTTAGGAACCTTCGTGCGGCGGAACCTTCGTGCGGCGGAACCTTCGTGCGG